TCCACTGGCTGCACAGTCAGACCTGGGTGGTCTATTTGAAGACTAGCTGGTCTTTGAATCTCTCTGAAAGAGGCACAGTCATTCTCTCTTTGTAACTAGTGTGCAAGGGTGAAGGTCTCATTGACCCATAGCATGGGCACCATGCAGAAAGCTGTGTGGGGGAAGGGCCATCTTCCCTTTCCCCTTAAGCCCTGGAGCGCTGAGAAAAAGCTTGGGATTTTGTCTTTGTTCTGGTTCTCTTTTTCAGTTCCAAGTGAAGGGAATAGAGTCCCAGACCTGGAGTTCCAGCTACGGGAATCTTGGACCTCAAGATTCTAGTAGGGCAGAGATGTGGCAGAGAAAGAAGAGTTCAAAGAGGGCCACTGGAGCATCTTGGAGTTGAAGACTCAGGCTGAAGCTACCTGTTGTACCTACCTACCTCTTAATAATAGCTAGTAGCATTTAAGTACCGGGCACTGTACTAAGCACTTAACAAATATAATTTCATTTGATCCTCACAATCCTGGAAGAGAGGAGCTATTATTATCCTCAGTTGATACAGTCAAGGAAACTGAGGCACACAGAGGTTAAATGACTTGCCCAGGGTCACATAGCTAGTAAGTGTCTGAGACTAGACTGGAACTCAAGTCTCCTTACTTTAGATAGAGCTCATAGTCCACTGTACAACCTAGCAGCCTAGCTCTCCTCTTCAAGGACTGGGGAAGGTTCCAAGAAAAGGTCTGCTCCTCCCCCAGTCCCACCCCCCAGTCTATTAACAGATACTGTTTATTAACAGATATTGTAACAGATTTTACTTGTTTCTTTGCCCCAATGTTTCTTGTAACCCGATTTTTTTTTTTTTTGCCTTAACCACAAAGGAGTCAGAAGTTAGCTAGAGATAAATGTAAATTCAAATTAGAGCAGAGGTCAAGCCTCTGCCTAAATGTTAAGAATTTTCCTACCTGGGAGCTGTGATCATATTCCTAACTTTTCATTTAATACAAACTCCATGAAGCAGCTGAGAAGGGGGCAAATGTGGATTTGAGGGGCCATTTTACTGCCCCAGGTTGAAAAATGAACTAATTGTTGTTAACAAGATGTAGCCGATTACAATGCAATGATCTAAGACATTTCCAAAAGACTAATGATGGAAAATGCTATCCACACCCAGAGAAAGAATTATGGAGTCTGAATGTGATCGAAGCATACTATTTTCTTTCTTTCTTTTTTCTTTTCTCATAGTTTTTCCTTTTTGTTCTGATTCTTCTTTCACAAAATAACTAATGTGAAAATATGTTTAATATGATTGTACATGTATAGCCTATATCAGATTGCACACCGTCTTGGGGAGGGGAAAATTTTAGAATTCAAAATCTTATAAAAGTGAATGCTGAAAACTGAAACTAAATAAATAAATAAAGATTAAAAAAAGAAAAATATTGAAAAGTTAAAAAAAAGATGTAGTTATTCTTGGTTCTTCTCTGTCCCTGTCTCTCTCTCTGTCTGTCTTCCTTTCTCTCTGTCTCTGTCTGTCTCTCTGTTGCTCTCTCCCTTACTCTGTCTCTGTCTGTTTTTCTCCCTTTCTCTCTATCTCTGTCTGCCTCTCTGTTGCTCTCTCCCTTTCTCTGTCTCTGTCTCCATCTCTTTCTCCCTTTCTCTGTCTCTCTGTCTCTGTCTGTCTTTCTCCCTTTCTCTGTCTCTGTGTCTCTGTTGTTCTCTCTCTCTCTCTCTCTCTCTCTCTCTCTCATTCTCTCTCGGGCCACACCCAATCACTTGCCAACTCCCATTAATCTACCTCCACAGTATCTTCCTCATCAGACCCCTCCTCTCCTTACCCACTGCCAGCATCCTACTTTAAATCCTCATCATCACTCATCTGCATTATTATTATAATAGCCTTCAAAATGATCATCCTGCCCGCAGCTCCAGTGGATGACTATGTAAATAAATGTCACCTATCTACAAAGATCCCTTCTCTGTGTTGTCTTCCAACTAAAGTACAGACTCCCCATTTTGTCATTTGAAACCCTCTCCCATTTGGCTCCAATTGACCTTAACTCCAGTGCCCTCTCTCTGCTGATTGTTCCAATTTATCCTATATATAGTTTGCCTGTACATAGTTTGTTGTTTCACGTTGTGAACCATTTGGGGCCTCCCATCACCTGAGAAAGGCCTAAAACCTGGATTGGCCAATCAGGAGAAAGTCACTTTGGCCCACTCTGAGCTTAAACTACCATAATGCTTCATGTGCTCTGTCATAACAGACATGCTTTGCTTTGCTCTCTGACTTAACCCAAAATGCCCCTTCCTGTGTCATCAACTACAAGACCAGATGAAGCTGACCAGGAACATTCCTCTGTTTATGACTACCAAGCTCAAGGTGCCTCAAACCAGACACAATTTTGAATAATGGGACTTTTCTTATGTTATATTATGTCATGTTAATGATAAAAGAAACACAGCCATCCTGGATCTATAATTTCGATTGACACCTTGACATTCTCTTATCTTATTGTATTTACAACCTATCCCATTAAGAAATTCCTTTCTCAAATTATGGTTAAACACATATGGAGACTGTAATTTTAAGTTGGTGGAGGCATCCTGAGTTAGGATTGTTCTAAGGATATAAAGGGTCTCCTTCAACTTGTTTACCTCTGAGTTTAGAATTATTTTCTGACTCCATCGTGCATGATTCTCTCGCCTAGTGAGAATAAATAAACATGTTATAATACATGTACAGCACAATTCTGTTTGTTCCTTGTTCAAACCTTTGGTAAGGTGAACTCCATTCTGTTTGTTCTCGAACAAACCTTTGGTAAAGGGGGAACCTCATTGTGTTTTTCTTTGGACAAACCATCGGTTAAGGCGGAAACTGATTCTGTTTGTTTCTTTGGACCAAACCTTTCATAAGTGGTTGACAATGTTGTCTTATCCATTGAGCTCCTTGAGGGTGGGATCTGTCTTTTGCCTTTCTTGGATTTCCAATACTTAGCATAGTGCATAGCACATAGTAGGTGCTTAGCAAATGTTTACTGACTTCTTAGCTTTATCTCACATGATCTCCCTTGACTTCCCTCCATCAGCTGCACTCTTCCCCACCCCCAGTTCTTGTTCTGCCCTCTCCTAACTCTGTGCCTTCACTTACTCTGTCTTCCAGACTCAGAATGAACTTGACTCATCTGACAATGGAAGTCCCTTGCCCTTCCTTCAAAGCCTCATTACATGCTGCCTGCTCTGTGAAACCTTCTTTGGCCTTTCCCATCTTCGGTGAAAGTGGTCTCTCCTTCCTCAGATTTCCCATAGTGCTTTGCCTGGGCCTCTCCTTAGCTCCTATGCTAGTCTCCTTCGTATCATGCTCATTTGCATACATTTTTTAAAGCAAGCATTGTTATTTTTTATTTCTTTTTGTGCACAGCACTAGGCACAGAGCCTTGCTTAGTAAGTATTTGTTGAATTGAACTGAGAGGAGATATTGGGGAGCAAAGGGAGACATCAGAGAAAGGAGGGCACTGATGGAGAGAAGGGACACTGGGGATGGATGGAAACACTGAAGAGAGGGGGAAACTAAAGGAGATGGGGAACACTGGAGTGAGGCGGAACTCTGCATTAGACAGGAAAACTGAAGTGAACAGGACATTAAAGAGAGAGGAGACACTGGAAAAGGGAAGGGGAAACCTTAGGGAGATAAGAGTAGGAACATTTAGGAGAGGCCTAGTAGTTAATGAGTTGATGTCATCTTGGAGTGAGGTCTCTAGAAAAGTAGCCCAGGAGTTGTTCCTTGGCCATGAGCTGCTAATTATTTTTATTGACAGCTTGGATGGAGCACTTTACACAATGCTGGAACAGGTAGCTAATGTGCTGGACTGTAGAATCGGGCTCCAAGAAGATCTCAGAAGCCCAGAAGGCAGAATCAAATAAGATGAAAATGACTATGATATTCCAGAAGATCTGTCCATTCATTCATGCCAGGACTCCCTCCACGGAGGCAGGTTGCAACCATCCCTTAGTGGATGGTTTCTTTCACTAGTGTTCGTGACCAACATATTTGTTACCTGGTGGCCAACCTTTCAATGACCATATACGTTGCACTCTACTAGGCAGGTGCTCAGATATTAGGCTTGTACTTTCCAGCTTGGAATAGCCACCAGAGCTTGTACTCTACTGGCATGGCCTTAGAGGACCCGAGGTTCATATCACAACAAAGCATTGAAAGGGTTCTTTAGTAGGGGAACATAATATTTAACAAGGATAAATGTAAAGTTTGACATGGGTTGAAAAAGAAATATCATCTGTATAATCACTTGTTGGAGAGGCATTAATGAATGAATGGGTGGATGGATGAATGAATGAATGAACAATTTGTATAGAGGTTTTAATGCATTTTAAGTTCATGCAGCTGAAAAAACAAAGAAAGTTAAGGCAATATTTAACTTTAGTACAGTACTACTTCCAGAACAGGTATTTTTTGGGGGCAGGGAATGCTCCCACAAGGTAATGTATTGCAAGTCTTCTGTAACATAGTAGATAGTACTTAAGGTTTTTTGTGAACAAAACATGCATCACCTTACCACCCGGTTGGTGGTACCTTTTCCACACTCAGCCAAATTGGGTTCTCCAGACACATGTCCATTATTCCTGGGTCTGTCCAGGAAGCCTTCTTAGCTTGATAGGAACTGAGAGAACTTGTACTGTCCTGCCTTTGAGAGCCTAAGGATGCCTCTACATCATGAGGAGGCACCATAGGGTGACCAGGAGGAAGGAGTGCAACCTTATGCTGTCTTCATTGAAGAGCAGTATCCAGAGCAAGGGACAGCCACCTTGCTGAGCTCTCCCATCTGTTACATGGGATGCTAGATTGAAGGCTGATCATGACCTCAGGAGTCATCTAATTTAACTCCTTCATTTTATAGAAAGGAAACAAAGAAAAAAAAAGAAAGGAAACAAAGACCCAAGAGGGAAATGACTTGCCCAAGGTCACACAGATAAGACAGAGCCAGAATTTGAATCCAGGTCCTTTGCCTCCAAATCTCAGAACTCTTTCCACTGTTGTGTTCAATTCTGGGGCCTTCTTTTCTAAAGGACATTGACAAACTGGGCTAGGTCCTGAGGAGGGACCTAGGATGATAAAAGGACTGGAGACTCTGTCATAGGAGAATCATTTGAAGGAACTGAAGATGCTTAGCCTGGAGATAGGGAAGCTTTAGGAGGCACATGAGAGCCATCTTCAAGTATGAGATTGCTCCACTTGACCATTTACAGAGGAAGTAGGAGCAAAGCAGGGCCATCATTTCAAGGGAAAATTTCCATTCATTGAAGAGAAAAATTCCCAATACCCTGGGCTATCCCAAACTGATTCAGAAAAAGCTGGGTTCCTCATCTGAGGGGGTCTTCGAGTGGAGATGAATGGCCACTTCTGGGAACAATGGAGAGAGAATTCCTGCTCAGGTAGATGACCTTCTGAAGTTTGTTCCGGTTCCAAGACTCAAGGATTCCTGTGATGCTATGGTCAGGTACACTGAGGAGAGGTAGATGCTGAGGAGAGAAAACTGGATGAGGGACACAGGAGTCAACAAGAGAATGCTAGGAAGACAGCTAAGGGCCATTGAAGTTAAGGAACATCAGCCAGGGCCACCGGCTGAGTGGCAACTTGTTAGGGATGGCTTTCTTGCTCAGATGGCCTCATTCTAACTCTAAGATTCTGCAATCTTGTTAATCTGGGAGGGAGGGACATTGTGGGGGAGAAAGAGAGAGGAAGCCTGGAGGTCACTTCAGGGAGAGTGATGAGGAACACAGACATAGGTCTCAGAAACATAGAAGTAACTGAATGTTGATATGGAGGCCATGAAGCCCTCCGAATGACTGATCCTTGACCAACTCAAATACAGATGGATCCTCATCCAACTTCAGGCAAGGATCTTCTTGGAACTTGCAATTTCTCTTGTCCAGCCCCCTTCCCAGACTGCCCTCACCATCCAACATCTACCAGAATTAAAGGCTAAACAGTTGGAGAGAAGTATTAGGTCTGGAGGAGGGAACTGTATTGGGTAAATCTGAGAGGAGTGGGAGAATAGAAGAGAAAAGGGAGAGAGAGGAGATGGAGAGCTGGAACCATAAGGATCATTTCCCTGTTTTTAGTCAGGACCACAGGTAAGACCTCTGTAGGTACAAGGTGAGGATTTCATGAAACTGAGACTTCCAAGGGGGCTAAGAGATTTAGCCCAATCTACTTGTTTGACAGATAGGGATTCTGAGGCCCAGATAGGAGAAGGGACTTGCCTAGGGTCACACGGGTAATCAGTAATAGAACCGAAACTAGAACTCAGAGTCACCTGACTCCAAATCCAGTGCTTCTTTTCATTATCCCTATTTTGTCCCCTTCTCCTTTTGTCTCTGCCACATCTCAGAGAGATGAGGCTTTCCTCCCTAGACATTGTCTTCATATCACAGAAGGAGGAGGAAGATTTAAAGCTGGAAGGACCATTAGGGATCATTGAGTCTAACATTCATTTTATAGGTGGAGAAACTAAAACTTGGTGAGGGGAAGGGACTGGGCCAAGGTCACACAGTGAGTTGATGTCAGGGTTGAGACTCAACATTCATTTATGTGCATGCATATACAAGGCCTCAGGCTGGCTTATGTGTATGCATGTGTGTTTGTGTGTGTATGTAAGTTAGAGAAACATATGAAGCCAAGTAGAGAAAGAGCCTAGGGTCAGAAGGATGGTAATATTTGGCAGTGGAAGGAACCTAAGAGATACAACCTTTCTGAGGATCAGAGAGAGAAATCGACTTACCCAGGATGAGATGGTAAGTTAGCAACTGAGCCAGGATTCAGACCCAGGTCCTGTGAACTCAAGCCCATTTTCCTTTACGCTATACCCATAGACATCAGGGACACCACTGCTAGGGGACCCTTCCCATCTACAGCCTCCCCAGTTGTTTCCTTTCTGGAGGGGCTGGTTCCTGTAACACGGGAACAAAGTACTCCGAACCTCAATCCCGTTTCTTTCAGTGCCAGGTTCCTCACCCCTGAACTAGACCAAAAGCAGCCTGAGGTCTCTGTCTACTGGTAGAGGGTTCCTTCCCTAGCCCAGATGCTCCTACCTGGTCCCATTGGCCCCACAGACCTGCTGTTCCAAGCCCTGGAGCCATCAGCAGTTCTTGCCCCCTCTGTTGGCCTTCTTGCCCTTTAGGGTCACATAGGGCAGCCCCACAAGCCACTCGTCCTGAGGCCAGTAGTGGATTTCCAGAGAGTTATCCTGCATCTCATACTGGTCATCCAAAAGAACTAAGATAACCACTATATACGGGAACACCAGGCTGATAAAGATGTGCCTAGAGGAACAGGTAAAGGAAGTGAGGGCATTCCCAAACCTCTATGAATTCATCCCTTCCTGAAGATGACCCATCCCATAGGACTCCCTCCAAACTACCATAATCCCAGATCCTCCTAATTTCTCCTGAAACCCCTGAAACCTCACAAACTCACCCTTCTCCCAGCCTCTCCAGGAGACCCCCATCCCCGCCTATTTCTAGGGACTCTTCCATATTTGCCACCTCTCAGATTGCTGAGGCCTCTTAAGGGACTGCCCAACCCATGACCTTAGCCCCAGTTTGGCCCTTACCAGAAGCTGTGCAAATAGGTGAAATTGATTTGTTGCCAGAAGGTGCAGAATACCCGGTCACATATCCAGATGGACAGAGCCAATGACCACCAGGTCACAGACACCACGATCATATGATTCACTTGGGCGTTTTTCCTGGGGATCATATGGAGACTAGGCTATGTAGTATCAATTCCTAGAATGTAACCTCCCCCAACCAAAGGTAAAGGAGTGGGGTAGGGGGACCCACAGTGGGAGAACAGAACTCCTAGGTGCAGGAGGATGACTTCCTTAGGAGCATGGGTCAGCATTTGTGTATCTGCACAGATTTGTTTCTTTATGTGTCTGGAGGGGTGGTGGGAGAGGGGCATATGCATGTGTTTGTCTTTTTACCCTATCTGTAAAATGAGGGGTTTAGGTAAAATGACCTCTTGGACCCTTCCAACTTAAAATCCTTTGATCCTCCTGGTGGTTCTGTGCTTTGACAAGGTTAGTGTCTCCGTGTTGGTATATTGACAAGGTGGGGGGATTTCTGGGGTTGGGGTCTCAGTGGACACAGTGGTGACCACTCCCTTCCTTCCTTCCTTCCTTCCTTCCTTCCTTCCTTCCTTCTTTACTTCCTTCCTTTCTTCTTCCCTCCCTCCCTCCCTCCTTTCTATCCCTCCCCTAGTTATCTGGCTGGACCAGGCCTCACTCACTTTTTGTACTCCATCCTCACAAAGTAGCAAATGTGCAGCGCAATGGAGTTGAGCACATAGGCGTTGACAGTTGGCTTTACGAAGGCCAGGAAGGTGGTTATGATTGAGATGAGCAGGACCAGGCAAGTGAATTGGGACCTGTAGCCCAGAGGAGGAGGGATGAGGTCAGGCAGGGCAGAGGGCAAAGGCCCAGGCTGGCCATCTCCCTTTATACCTGTCCTTCTTCAACAAGGCGGGAAAGTAGCAGCAAGGAAACCAGATACAGTAGCATGTTGACAGCAGCCAGAGGATGGCCAGCTCATCCAGGATTTGTCCCAAGAAACTCAGCGTCATGTGGAAGTACACAGAGAACAGGCCTAGAACCAACAAGATTCAGAATTCTGGACTTAGGCACTTCTTAGTCCTCAAAGAAGTCTTTCTTGATTCCCATTCTTTTCCCCTACCAGGAAAGAATCAATAATTCCTATTCACTGGGAGGGTGGCATGGGGGAATGCTTTCAGACTTGCCAGATCCATAATATGGTTAGGATTTTAGGACTTAGAGCTTAAAGCTAGAAGGAACCTTAGAAATCCAAACTCCTTTTACAAATTAGGAAAAGAGGTCCAGAAAAGGGAAAAGTCATCAAGGCAATAAATGGCAAAGCTGAGATTTGAAAATAGGTCTTCTACTCCAGTTCCAGGTTTGTTTCCATCACAAATAACCAAGCATCACCTGTCTGGTTCCAGAGACCCAAGAAAATGAGAAACATTGACCAGTTGACTCCATATCCTGGGAAATTCTGATCTATGGAGAAAGAAGCATTGGAGTGATACTGACTAGGGGATGCCAGAGCCAGGGAGATATGGGCTGGGGACCTCAGGGTCAGGGAGATACTCACCATGGGACCCCAGGATAAAGGAGATGCTGACCAGAGGATCCTAGAGCCAGGGAGATACTGATCAGAACTAGAAGGATAATAGCCAGAGGCCCCTGTGTCAGGGAAACCTTAAGAAGGGGCTCCCTGGACTATGGAGACACTGATCAAAAGATCCTATAACCAGGGAGATGGCCAGAGTATCCAGGGGTGGGGGAGAACTGACATACCTACTAAAATGTAGAGGACCCAGGGTAGATGCATGATGAGGGAGCGTTTCTGGGCATAAGGATGCATAAGGTATATCATGAGGGGCCCAATGATGAAGAAGGAGACATTGCTGACCTGTGAAATAACAACCATGTCCAAGGTCAAGCTGGGAGGCCCAACTCAAAAATCCTTCCACTCACCTGACACAAAAAACAGAAATCTGTCTATCAAGCTGTCAGTTATGTCCCAAATCATGAGTCGCAAGCCCATCCATCAATCTATTAACAGGCCTGTCACTCCGTTCCATCTTGTTTGCAAGAGTAGTTAGCAATGGTTTGAGGTCAATGTGGCAGGAAACTTCCATGGAGGGCCTCAGGGACCTGCGCTTGGCCCTGCCCTGTTTAAAAAAATTTTTTTAATGCAATTGGGGTTAAGTGACTTGCCCAGAGTCACACAGCTAGTAAGTGTTCTGTATCTGAGGCCGGATTTGAACCCAGGTCCTCCTGACTCCAGGGCCGGTACTCTATCCATTGCGCCACCTAGCTGCCCCCCTGTTTAACATTTTTAACAGGGTAAGAATCCCCTCTTTTTGACTTGGAAGAACCAAGCTGCCCTGTCCCATTTCCAAGGTCCACTGCAAGGAGTTTGCAGCCTAACTGTCCTTCATTGCAATCTCTTTATGCTAACGAGAAATGACTTGCAATCAGAGCCTACTTGACCGACGGAGGAAATGGTCAAAAACATATTGTCAGAGAAAACTATCAGCCACCTGTTACCTCTCCCTGCTGTGGTTTGTAATAACAATAAAGCTTTTTTTTTTTTTCACCTGATCTGTACTCTAAAACTGTGAGCCAGGAGGAGCTGCTCTTTTTGTTGTTGTGATAGTTAATTGGCACAGTAGATAGAGGACCAGATCTGAAGTCACGAAGTCCTGAGTTCAAATCCAGCCTCAGACAATAAACTAGCTCTGTGATCCTGGGCAAGTTCTGTTTGCCTCAGTTTCCTCATTGGTAAAATGGGTATAATTACAGCACCTATCTCACAGGGCTATTATGGGGATCAAATAAGATAATAATTGTAAAGCATTTAGCACAAAACCTGGTACATAGTGAAACTATATAAATATTATCTGTTATTGTTGTTTTCCCCATGAAGGGATATCACTTAATGTCAGGCTAGAGCAGTGGGCTGAATTTAAATGGATGAAACTGAATAGAGTTAAATGTCAAGTCTTACATTTGGGTACAAAATACCAAATTGACAAGTATAGGATTTGGTAGATATGGTTAGAGAATAGTTTGTCTGAACAAAAAATCTGAGTTTTAGTGGAACACAAACTTAATATGAATCAACAGCATGATGTGGAATCCCAAAAGACCAGTGTGACCCTGGGCTGCATTGAGAGGCATTGGATGTCCAGGAATTAAGATGTAATAGTCTCTCTGTCTTTTGTCCTCCTCTTGTGTTTGGTTTGGGGCACACCGCGAAGCTGGGGAGCTTCTAGAGGAGAGCACCCAAGATGGCGAAGGGCCTTTAGTCACATTATATGAAGATCAGCTGTAACACTTGGACTCGCTTGGCCTGGGGAAGAGAAGACTCCGGGGGGCCACAGTGGTTCTGTATGAGTACCTGTAGGCTTGTTGTGAGGAGGAAAGATTCCACTTGCTCTCTTTGGCCCCAGAGGGCAGAACCCAGAGCCACAGGTGAAAGTTGAAGTGATGCAAATTTAGACTTACCATGAGGAAACATTTTCTCATCGTTCTAGCTGACTAAGAGTGGAATGAGTTGCCCCGAGAAGTCATGGGTTCTCCTTTTTGGAGGTCTTCAAGCAGAGGCCAGATGGTCACTCACTGTTATTGTTGTTTAGTTGTTTTTGAATAGTGTCTGACTTTCTGTGACTCCCTTTCTGGTTTTCTTGGCAAAGATACTGGAGTGGTTTGCCATTTCCCTCTCCAGCTCATTTTACAGATGAGGAAACTGAGACAAACAGGGTTAAATGACTTGCCCTGGGTCACATAGCTATAATAAGTGTCTGAGGCCAAATTTGAACTCAGGGAGATAAATATTCTCCTGCCTCTTGGCAGAGAGCTAATGTGCCAGAGATGCCAAATGACTCAGGCTTTCTGACATGGCCAAGTGTGTAAATTTGTGTTTGTTTGACCACAATTATTTGTGATATGGGAGGGAATTTTATTTTTTGGGTGGAAGGTCAGTTACAGGGGAAGAGAAAAAGAGGAGTGATGGTGATGACTAAAAAAAGTGAAGAAAGAAAAGAAATAAATGAATCAAACGTTTAAAAAACTATAACAAAGAGAACAGTGGAAGTTCAGAGATGTAGACAAGTAGAACCTTTTCGGAACTACTGTGTTAAGTTTACCAAGTTAAAAAAAAGAACTATGGCATAAGATACCAGATTTCTTATATAATCCTTTTTCAGCTCTTCTTTGTTTGAGAAATGATCATAATTGTTTTTATCTGTCAAGTTCATAATAATAAAAAAGAAAAGTTGTTTAGATATATTTCATGACAGGTGTGACCACAAAGATAGTTTTCTTCAATGTCCATTGAATTCCAACATCAAATGAGGTATAAAATAATTATATCCACAAAAAGTATTTCTCAGTGTCATGGAGAATGTTTTGCTCTGAGTCTAAATAAAAGAAATACTGTCTTTTGATAACAAGAGTCTCCAAGTACTGCTATTTGGTGATGACATTGGATGAATTGAGCCGGGCCCTGGAATAGCATGAAGCTTTACCAAGAAATTCATAATCATTTGAATGGCATTGCTCTAACCATTCACAGCGGAAAAACAAAGTGGATGAAAATACATATTTCCCATTTTATGACATGAAACCTACTGAGTTAGTCCATTAGGACACAGATCTCAAAGAGGCATTACCAATGGAAAATATGCTGGGTCTAGATTGAATAGAAAGAGATCAGGTTGGATGGGATGGCCCAGCACTTTCAGTGATCTCAAGGTGCTTGCTGCCACAAAAGCTCATCTCCTTAACCACGATATCTTCTGGTGATGCCATGTGACTGCAAGTAGTGGAATGCCATGATCTCAGAAGGATCATATTTACAAATTTTACAAGGGGCAATAAAAAGATGCATAGTGAGTTTAAGCAGGCTGCATCATGTTTCAAATGAAGACGTGTCATTGAGAACACATCTGTAGGATCAAAGCAGATGAAAACTGAGGAAACATACTTTCCTCCTTTCTTTTTCATTTCCTTGAAGAGGTCTATGAGTACAGAATATTGCATATATTGTCACGTTTGGTCACTATGTGGGCTGTTTTTACTGTAACTGGCTTTCTTTAGGTGGTAGGGAAGGGTGAGTGAGTGGAAAGGCAGGTATATTTGGAAATGAAAAAACAAAAGATAAAATATTAATTTAAATAGAATAATTAAATTCTAATATTTGTAACCAGAAAAAGAGGTGGGTTGGTTATTTAGTGAGACCAAGAGATAACAGATGGACTGCCTGAGCACTGCATTAGTATCCACAGAATTTGAAAGAACAGCAGGAAGCCCTGTAATGCATTGGGTAAATCCTCAATTAAGTATTTATGGGGAGATACAGACAAGAATCCCACATGATGAGATGTGGATGGGTTGGGATCTAAATCAGTAGAAGAAGCAGAGGCATCCATTGGATCCTAGGTCTGACAGAGTATTATGTGCTAGGCTCTGTGGGGACCCATATCTGTTCAGAGATGAACAATCCAGTTTCCTGCCTCTGGAATTTCATAGTTCTGGGATCCCACAGGAGGCCTGGGTACAGTCAGTGTTGGGGAAGGCCAAAGGACAGGCTCCCCAGAGGAGGGAGTGTGCTCAGAAAGGTTTCCTAGAGGACTGGACAAACCTAGCCATCTTTAGAGGCCCAGCTCAAGTTCCACTCTGGTCAGAACCTCATCTGCGGTCCTGTTTTGAATTCTGAGGGCACAATTTAAGAAGAATATTGAAAATCTGAAGTGTATAAAGAGAAAAGAATAGAGTGAAAAGAATAGAGACTATGACAAACAAGGATTCATTGAAGGAACTGGAAATAATATTAGCCAACATTCATACTGCACCTACTATGTGCTAAAAATTTCATAAATATTTTCTCATTTGATCTTCATAACAACCTGAGAGACAGGTACCATTATTATCCACATTTTACAGTTGAGGAAACTGAGCAGACAAAATTAATTGACTTGCCCAGGGTCACACAGTTAGTATGTGTCAGTGGCTGGATTTGAATGCATGTCTTTGTGACCCCAGGGCCAGCACTCTATCCACCGAGCCACCTAGCTACCCCCTTGGTAGCAGTATTCATCCTGGACTGGATTGGAGAGCCGTCACACAGCACGATAAGACTTATTCTACTTAGTCCCAGAGGATAGAATTGGCTGCAATGTTTCAGAGTGGAAGATTTAACTTCCTAGCAGGGCTGTCCAAAAAGGGAATAGGTGTCCTTAGGAGGTTGAGAGCTCTCTCTCACTGGAAGCATTCCAATGGCAGCTGGGTGAGTACTTGGGAATATTGCCAGGGCATTCCTGCATGAGTAAGAGGTAGACTGGACACAGTTCAAGGTTCCCTTGTCTTTTGTCTTTCCTTGTAATTCTAGCTTGGCAGACAGCTCCTGGCATATGATAAGCACTTAATCAATGCTTGTCGACTGACTGATCTGAGCACCAACTGCCCTGGGCATCTCTCCCTCACCTGCCTTCTCTGATCTTGTCCATGTGATCACAGATAATCATAGATGCCGAAAGACACCTTAGAGGTCATCTGGTTAATCTCATTTTGCAAATGAAGAAGCTGATGCCCAGAAGTTAAGTGACTTCCTCAAAGTCACACAGCTAGGAAGTGGCAGGGTTAAGACTGAAACTCTAGTCTTTCCACTGAACCAACACTGCTTCTAGTTGTCTAGTAGGACCCCTGGTTAGAATTAATCTAGCATCTGATTGAATAGGTTCTTGTTTTTTTTTTTTTGAAGCTATCCCAAAGTATTCCCAGTGGGTCATGTCTCCCTATCATGCTGGTGACTCCCAGACTCAGCACCCTCTTCTCTGCCTTCCCTTGTCTGTCCTGACTCAAGGCTGAAGGTGGGACTGGAGCAGCAGAACTGCCTCAAAGTGGAATAACCTATCTGGAACCCCCCCATCTTAGATGACCACTGAATGGGAATATAGTAGAGGGAATTGCTGCATGGGTGTGGGTTAGACAGCTAGGTGGCACAGCAGATAGAGCACTGGGCATGGAGTTAAAGATCTGAGTTCAAATCTGGCCTCAGACACTTAATAGCTATCTGAACCTGGGTGAGTCACTTCACCCTGTTTGCCTCAGTTTTCTCATCTGTCAAATGAGCTGGAGAAGGAAATGGCAAACCACTTCAGTATCTTTGCCAAGAAAACCCTGAATGGGGTCATGAAAAGTCAATCATGTCTGAAACAACTGAACCACAACAATGAGTTGAACCTGGATCCTGGTCCTATCTCTCTGCCATTAATTTGCTGTGTGATCTTGGGCAATCCCCTTTCCTTCTCTAGATGGAAATTCCTCAGACTGAGCAGGGCTGGGCTTCTCTCTTCCCAGTATGAGACGTGTCTGAGCCACTGAGAAACAAGGGTAGGAGAGCAGCTGGGCAGGGAGGCCCATCCTGGGATCTCACATCTGTGATGCTAACAGGCTTCACTGGGCCATATCCTAAGCCAGAGTTTCAGATCTAGGTCTGGGGTGGGCCATATCCTGATGCTCAAGGTATGTTCAAGTGGTTTATGGGCAGACATTTCATAAGATTGTCATTTAAAGTCCTGTCACCCTAGCCCTACCATCTTCTAACTCTTCTCTCACCCAGTCCCTCTATACACTCTAGGTTTAGCCATGCTTCCTCCCCACCTTTTCTCAGGTTCTATCTCCCATCTAGCACACCTCTATTCTCACTGATTTATAAGATCATAAGATTTAATGCTGGAAAGAATCTTAGAGACTATCTGGCCCAAGTTTTTCATTTTAGAAATAGGTAAACTGAGACCCAGAATGGAGAAATGACTTATCCAAGGTCACACTGATAATAAGAAGAAAATTGGGATTCGAATCCAGGTCCTCTACCTCAATATCTACTCTCCTTTCTATTAAGCAATGCTGCCTCTAAGAGCTAAAAGAGAATGACCTCAAGTGAGCAAGGTCAACCTTCTATTGCAGGCAGAATCTCCTCCACAGTCTTCTTGAGAAGGCAGTCAGCACTAGGTTCCTCAATGAGAGAGACAGCCCAGTCCACTGTAAGGCATCTCTGATTGGTAGAAATTTCCCCATAACTGTCATCATCCATGCCCCTCTACTCCTAGTTCTGTCTTGTGGCTGCACAGAATGGCACATCTTCTCCTCTCCAGCTTTCACCAGTTTTTCAAGTCTTTCCTCCTCCAGGAAGGCTTTTGTGACCACTCCAGCTTCCTGTGACCTACCACTCCCTATTTGAGCCCTTTCTGAGCCCTGCCCCTGGCCACTAGCCCAAGAAACACATATACATGGTCTCCAGGTTGCCTGGATGGCTGCTTCTCCAGGATGGAGAGAACCATTGGCTTCATTCTACCCATTCTCACTCTTGGGGATGTAGCTCATGCTATCACCAAGCTCAGTCCTATCATCTGGAACTTTGAGGACAAGGGAAGAACTGACAGGTGGAAGGAGAGAGACAAGAGGAAAGACAGCAAGAGGCCACAGAGGAGAGCTAATTCATAACTGCTCCCTTACTCTCAAACTTTAAATTTTAAAAGCCCTTGCTTCAACAACTCTGTAAAAGTTATGTAAAGTGATATTTTGTCCTCAGTTTACAGAGAAGGAAAATGAAGCCCAGAGAGGTAGTGATGTGTCCAAGATCCCACAGCTAGACTACATTCAGGAGTCAGGTCCTAGTATCAGGACCCCAACCCAAGTTTCCTGACATCCACCAGCCCTAAAGTGTCTCTGCTGCAACCACCAGGAACAAGGAGGACTGAGATGAGAAGCTGAAAGTTTTGGAGGTTTTCCCAAAGACCAGATAATAATGACAGACCCTTCTCAGGGCATCCCTGTGCACTGCCAATGGATGGAAAGGGATTTTGCTGGCTCCAAGTGGGGCTAACAGAGGTCCATGGTAAACACTAGGCCTAAGGGGCCATCATCTATCCTGGCCCAAAAGACTGGAAAAGAAATTTCTCCAGATATAACTGATCCTCTCTGAGTGGCTAGCTCAACTCCATCCCAGCCCAAGCCCCTGGTGTGCTCTGGTCTCAACAACCCTCACCCCACCCCTATTTCTCCCTTTCTGAACTGATAAAACTTATAAGGGCCATTCTAATGGTCCTTACATAAAATCATGTTTTATGATTTTATGAGGCCTGACTTGAGAGAGAGGAAGGGATTTCCCCAAGGTTACACAGCCAACAAATGGAAGAACTGGGATTAGGCTTCCTCATCCCATTTTGAGTTTTTCCCATATAACCCTCCCCCACACCCAGCTCAGTGTCCCCCTTACACTCAAATCATCCCCTCTCTGGTAAGGTACCCAAGAAATCCAGGTCAGATTGGGATGTCCCAGAGTCTCACCCAGACTTTCTATGTGGGTAGCATCCCCTATGTGGGTCCTATGCTGTGGCCTAGCACCAGAATGATTCATCATCCCCACCCGGCCTCACCGTGTTGTAGAACTCAGCCACCAGACTTGAGTGCAGGAAGTTGCTTTCACACCAGTCGACCTCGGAGCTCTGATACGAGAATATGCTGGCCATGTCTCTGCTGGGTTGCCTTTGGCCATGGAGGCAGGAGCAGGTGAGTATCTTACAGGTGAGCAGTCAGGGAGGAACCCATTGGGAGGGACCAAGGGAGGCGGGCAAGGATGGAAATCTGGGCTTGACAGACATTAAGAAGAAAAACCTGATCTTCTGGCTCCATCCTGAGTATACCAATATCTTAGAACCTAGCAGCTCTGGAACTATGGGATCTCACTATGGGATCAGTCAGGAAGCAGGACCAGGCAGTCACACTAGCAGCAAGGGGAGGTGCAAAGGGCAAATCACTGTGAAGACCCCTCAGATAGAGTCATAGAATTGGAGGTTTTATTAGAGCTGGAAGGGATCTTAAATATCTTCTAGTGCAATTCTTCTCACTTTATAGAGAAGGATACTGAAGCCCAGAGGAGTGACTTTCTCTCCATAGTCTTTGTTTTGTATGAATGTTTTGTATATATTTGTCTGTGATCATTTGTCTGTTATTTCTCCCCAATAGAATGTAAGCTCCTTGAGGGAAGAGACTTGGTTTTGTCTCAGTATTTCCAGTGCCCAGCATAGTGCCTGGCACATAATAGACCTTAAATAAATACTTTTTAAAAACAAGAGCGGTCAAAACAAACAAACCGCTAAACAGAATACTGCAAAATAATACTGTTATTATTATATATAATTATATATATATATAAATACATATATTATATATAACGCTGTTTCTTTATTCTTTGTTATAAGGAATAGCTCTTTATAGGAGGGAGAGATTTGGAGAGGGGGAAAGCCTAAAGGAAGGGAATGAGTTGCAACAATGCCCTATTCCCACAGAAGGGTTCAGAATGCAGAATGAAGTAGACATTTTTCACTGTGGATGATGTCAAAACTTGTATTGCTTGGCCACACATATTTTACACAAGGTTTTGTTTTCATAAGTGAGAGGGGGAAGAAAAAAATTAAAATAAATTTTATTGAGAAAAAAAAAAGGGAATGAATTAGCTGAGGCCACTGGGGTAGTAAGTGACAGATCAAGGATTCAAACCCAGGTCTCTCTGACTTAAAATGCAATTCTCCTTGCTCCAACCCTTGCTTAATAATACTCCCCCATAACTGGTGGCTGTGGTCATGGACTGGCTCTTCTACAATCTGTCTTCTCTGTTCTTTCTTCCCCAATGTTCTCCACCCTCAAAGAATAAACCCTCAGTCTCATTTCCTGGGAACCCTCCCCAGGAATGTAATCCTAGTTGGACAACTCATGGTTGCTTCTGGAGATAAAAGTGCTTTGAGGTTTATGTATTAAGCCCTTTGAGATCTTTCAATATATTAAAGTCCTAAGTTACCTTGAAATCCTAGGATCATAGGATTTTGAATTGGATAGGACCTTAGAAATCATTTCCCCTACCACCCTTATTTTACAGAGGAAGAAACTTAGGCTCAAGGAGTTTACCGAGAGTGTTCTAAGAGTATAGAGGTTCTTTTAAGGAGAGAAGGTCCAATGCTAGGCCCTCTTCCCCTCCTAGTCCCAGATGTCCCTTGTTCCTTGAAGGAAGAAGGTACTTCTCCCCCTTTTCCATAGTACTGCTGGCCTGAGTGATCTCCTGCCAGGCCAGACTCCCAACTTGGAGAGGAGAGACTGCAGAACCTATTACACCAGATGGTTTGGCCTTAAGGGTCGCCACTGCTTTGGGGTCTTTGATGACTTTGGTGTGGGTGCCATTCTTGTCAATCTCAAAGTCTAGTTTAAGAATTTTTGTTCATCTCAGTTCTAGCCCGGGGATCTCCAAGCACTTCCAGGACTTCTAGAAGGGGAGATTTCAAAGAATTTAGAACACTAGAGGATTATTTCATCTTAGGGCACTGAAGAAGACTTCTCTTAACTTCAGGAAACTTCTCTGCAAAATGATCCTGTGGGGCTACATAATTTCTAAGATCCCTTTCAGTTGTATATCCTATGATCTCAAGCCATCAGAATAGGATCTTAGAATCACTGTGACATCTCAAAGCACTTAAAGCTGTAAAGATCTCAGAGCTCTTTCTAGGGCTGGCATTGGGCACAGCCTGTTGCACAAGGTGCTGTATCTGCTTGGCAGAGAGGGGGTGTAGGTGAGAGGTATCTTTCCTTGCCCCAGGTGCCAGCTATTTGCCAATCTGCTTGGTAAGTGATTTCTTCCCTGGGATGGGAGCCCCACCCTGGACATGATAGGAGCAGAGAAAGGCATCTCCTAATTCCTAGATTTCAGGTGGGATTTTTTTCCATTGATCCAGTTGGCCTCCCTTGTCCCATTCTAGGAGCCGCTAAGGTTTCCTGGGTTCTTCCTCCAAAGCCCAACTCTACCTACCCTGAGACTTGGAGCTCCATCCTTTGCTGAAGGGGATGCTAAGGACTTTCCTAAAGCACTGTGGAGCAGTAGGAAGAGAATTGACATTAGGTTCATGAAATTAGGAGTCTTGGCTTTGTCAGCTACCTTTAGGACCCTGAGCAAATCACTTTTCTCTGGGCCTCAAGTTTCCTTCTTAGAAAAAATGAGTAAGATATAATGGAAACGGCTTGGAATTTGGCACTGAAAGACCTGAATTCAAGTAGTAACTCTTCAAATTACTAGCTCTGTGACCTTTGAAAAGTCTTCACTCTAGGCTTGAGTTGACCATTTGCAAAATGGGTTGGATGTGATCTCGAAGGCTCTGACACTATGAGATTCTTTGTTGCTCTTGGGAAGGAACTAGACTTTGAGACTAACAAGAAATCCTTCTGCACTGCCCTCCAAAGGAGGCACCAAAGGAACCCTTAACAGTGATCCCTTTGGTTAACTTTATGTTGGAGCAGGCTCCCCAACCTCTCCCTCCTTCTTAAGAAGCTGGATCTCTGACCTGGCAGGAGCTGGGCTTGCCAGAAGAGATCACCCAAACCAACAGCGGTAGGGAGGGATAGGGAAAGGCACCTCCTTCCTTCCAAGAAGAGACAAGAGACATGGAGCTAGAATGGGAGGAAGACCTCGAGATTGACCTTTTTCTCTTGCTTGGACATTGGCACCATTGTCGGGATCTCAGTGCCTGAAAAAAAAAAAAGCACTTCTATGTGCATGACCTCTAACCCCCTTTGCCTATGAATAATCCTCCTGGGGACACTGCACCCAGACTCAGTCAGGAAAGCAACACAAGCAGGATAAAGGACAGGCGGTCTCAGGCTCAAATTTGACCTATAAGAAAGGCAGGAAAGGTAGAAATATGCTGGACTAGAGGTATGGAGTGAAGCACATATTCTTAGACATGATCAATGTATGGGTTTGTTTTGCTTGATTATCCTTTCTTATTACTAGGGAGCATTTTATTGCAAGGTGGAGAGGAGAGAGGAAGTCACTGAGGAAGGAAGGAAGGAAGGAAGGAAGGAAGGAAGGAAGGAAGGAAGGAGAAGGGAAAGAAAAGAGGGAGGGGGAGGAAGGGAGGAATAGGAAGGAGGGATGGGAGAGAAAGAAGAGAGGGAAAGAAGGAAGGGAGGGAGGAAGGAAGGGAAGATATGGACATCTGCTTACCAGTGACCTTGAGTTGGACTCTCCCACTTCCTCAACTCAGAACTCTGTGCAAAACAACTTGCCAGCCCTTTGTCAGAGCATTTCTGGAAGGTCACCTCTTGGCCACCTGAACCTTTGGTAGCTACCAAGCCTTTCTACCCCTGTCCACTCCTGAGAGGGTGAAAAGATCTCTGATTTGATAGTTATAAAACCTGGTTCTTATTTCTGTCTCTGCTGCTTAACTTGGAAAACTTTGGGCAAGTTACTTCCCCTCTCTGGGCCTCAATTTCCTCACTTGTGTTGGGAGTGGGGTAGACCAGATGACCCCTAAGGTCTTTTCCAGGTCTGATCTTTGTTCTGAATTCCCTTCCAGCTCTAGCATTCCCTGATTCCACAGTGCTGTGATTCTCTAGCTTGATATACTAAAATTTGATTTTCATGCATTTCAATCAATCAAGAAGTATTTACTTTGTGCCAAGCACCTGCTAAAATACTGGGCATACAAATAAAAGAGAGGGAAAGGCCCTGCCTCTAAGGAGCTCACATTCTAATCACGGAAATAATTTAGAAATAACTAAGTGTACATAAGATATTAGCAAAGTAAGTGAAAGGTAATCTCAGTCTAACAGCTGAGAGGACTGAGAAGAAACTCCTGCAGAAAGTAAGCTTTGAGCTGAGCCATGAAGGAATTCAGGAAAACTGAGAAGCAAGGATGAGGGGCACCATGTTTGGCGGGGTTGGAGGGAGTGGAGTTCACCCAGTGCTAAGGCATGGCGATGGGAGATGGGGGATCATGTGTGAACCATAAGTAACCTAGTGCAGCTCTATGGTAGCATATGTCTGAGAAGACCAGAAGGGTAGAAAGGGGATGGTTTGGGAAAATCTTTAAATGCCTAGCAAAGGCATTTGCATTTGATTCTGAAGGTAAAAGGGAGCCGCTGGAACTGAGTAATGAAGCTATTATGTGGAAATGCTCTCTCTCTATACACATGTATCGTGATCCTTTCTAACTCAAGTCAGAATCATAGAATCTCCAAATGGGAAGGGATCTCAGAAGGCATCTACTCTAACCCATACTGATTAGGAAGCCCTAACAAGCAGTCATTTGGCCTCCACTTAAAGGCCTCCATTGATGAAATCACTACCTTCCTTGGGCAGCCCATTCCATTCTTGGACAGCTTTCATTGTTAGACAATTCTGCTGTATAGTTAGTCTATAACTTATTCTAATTCCCCCCCTCCCAATTATTGGGAGTGGTGGCTGGGGAGGGGAGGTTATTTCTGCCTTTGGGGACAAGCAGGACAATCCTTCTTCTATGGGATAGTGTTCAAATATTGGAAGACAACCACTGTGTCTTCCTTAAGTCTTCTCCAAGCCTCCCTTTGATCAATCCTTGCATGACCATCCCAGTCTACCCTCTTCTGGACACTGCCCAGTCTATCAATGCCCTTCCTCAAGTGTGGCACCTGAACTGAACAGAATATATCGGTGACCTGAGCAGGGCACAGCACAGCGGGAATTGATCGCCTCTTTTGTTTTGGACATTCTATTTCTCTTAG